ACTAGAGGATGAAAATCCTCCCCCCCCCAAAAAAAAAACAACAACCCCAGCCAAGTCATTTTAACATTTTGGGTGATCTGCTTTTGCATTATGGTGCTGGAGGAGACTCTTGAGAGTCCCATGGACTGCAAGAAGATCAAACCACTCCATTCTTAGGGAAATCAGCCCTGAGTGCTCACTGGAAGGACAGATCCTGAAGCTGAGGCTCCAATACTTTGGCCACCTCATGAGAAGAGAAGACTCCCTGGAAAAGACCCTGATGTTGGGAAAGATGGAGGGCACAAGGAGAAGGGGACGACAGAGGACGAGATGGTTGGATAGTGTTCTCAAAGCTATCAGCATGAGTTTGACCAAACTGCGGGAGGCAGTGGAAGACAGGAGTGCCTGGCGTGCTCTGGTCCATGGGGTCACGAAGAGTCGGACACGACTAAACAACTAAACAACAACAACAACAACAACAACTTTTGGACAATGCATTCAGCCAGACCATGTGTGTGCCTTCCCCCCCTGAACATGCCAGCCACTCCAGAGGAGAAACTGAGGCTCACCCTTCCTTTGAGTGACCACTTCATTCTTCAAAGAAAAGAATACCAGACCCTGAAGCATATCCAAATAGTTTCTGGGTAGGCAAATAATCATTCCCTTCTCAAAGAAAAGACACTCTGCACATCTTCAGGGCCATTTCCCACCTTGGTCTATTAAAAAAATAATAATTGGGAAAAGAACTCTGCTTATACTCAGGGACACTCGCAATTTGTTTTTGCATGTGAAGCTTGGCACATTTTAATTCCAAGTGCCCACACATTGGAAACCAAAGTCCCAACTCAGTTAAGGACCAGCACTTAAAGTGACAGTATTTCAGAGAGGTAGGATATTATTTTGGCAAACAAGTCATCTTTTGATAATGAAGCCGTATTTCTTGCTGATGTACATTTCCTTTTCTCTTTCTCCGTATACCAATAACAAAGGAATATATCAAGTTGTAAATTGTGGAGTTGTTTCTTCCACACTGCGGAATGCACCCACCAAATCTTCATCAATCCTGTATGGCAAAAAAGTAATTTTCTTCACCCTGGAGAGAAGGATTCCTGTGACAAGGACTCCAGCCCTTTTCTTTTTAAAATATGATAGCCAGCCAAATGTGGAAACCTGAAGATAAATATAAAATACTAGTAAATTCAGCTCGCATTTGTGGATATGTGTGCTTGGCTGCTAAGGGAAATCTCTCCAAGATTTTTTCAAGGAACAACAGAACTACCTCAGCCCAAATTTTCACTCCATATGTGGTCTTGGCGACTCCCTGCTTGTGTGGTGTCCTCTAGCTGTCAGCTTCAATTGATAGATATTAAAATGTCTCATTTTCAGATTTTTCTAGTAAACAAGGGGGCTCGAATAAAATGTGTACCAAATTTCAACTTTACAGGTGACAGGGAAGTACCCCTACCATTTTGAAGTAGGGGTAGAGTACAGGAGAGGTGTTGAAACACTCCATTATCGCCCCCTTCCTTGGTAATTAAGGTTTCTTGGATTGTATACGGATGTTGACTTTTCTCTAGGTTGTTGTTTAAAAAATGTCCTTCCTAACCTGTTCAACAGAGAAAAATGTGTATTTCCCCCATACACCAGGAGGCTGGAAGAGGTGATTTTGAGCAAACAAATAGGAGGAGATGCATTTTCCTTTCATGAAATGGGCGGGGTGGTTTTTTGCAGTGCAGTGTAGAGCCTCCTTACTTCCTCTTGACACCTGGGAACCAACCTGTGGCTGCTTTGGCTCCTAGGGGGCAGGTGGACCAGCAGAAGGATGTCTAATGCCAGAGGGAAAAGTCCTCCTGAATTCAATAGCGCTCACTTCCAGTTTAAGCAACATTAGGATTGCAGCCTCAGTCCCTGCTAACTTTAGCTGGATCATAACCTCATTTCCTGAAGTGCTTCAGTATCTATCAAGGACATCACTCGCTGTGCTGGTATAAATTGAGAGTAGGAAGCTGCCTTCTGCTAGGTCAACTGGTTTGTCCATCTGGCCCCTGTATAGTCTACTCTGACTGGCAGCAGCAGCTGCCGGACAGAGAAAGGTCTTTCACACCACCTGCTACAAGTAGTGGAGTCTGGTCCTTACCCACACAGGAAGAATGGCAGATGAAGTTGATGGACTACATGGAATTGTCGGAAATGACTGGCAGAATCCGAGACCAGGGAGAACAATCGGTGGAAGAAGATTGGAAAAAGTTTAAGGACTACTTACAGAAATACTGTAAAATTAATGAATGTTAGAAAAATGTTGGAATGAAGTTATATGGCTTTAGTAGAAATGTTATAAGGAATTAGGTATAGATAGATTAATAGGGTATTAAAGGGAAAAATAAGGTTAGAATGTGTTAAGATAATTATAGGATAGAAAACAGAGGAAGAGGGAGAGGAATTGCTGAAACAATTAATAAAAGTGGAAGACAAAAAAGGAGGTGTGAGGAAGTCGTGGAAACAAGTGAATGAAAGATAAGATATTGAAATTGGATTGTGTTTTGAATGGTTTTTTGTTTTGTTTTGTCAATTGTTTGTGTTAGTGTTGTGTAGTCTTTTTTGTACGGTATTGTATTGTTGTATTGTTTTTCTTTGGTTTTTTTGTAGTGTTGTGTTTAAATTGTTGAAAATGAATAAATATTATTATAAAAAAAAAGTAGTGGAGTCTGGTCCTGGTCATTGGGGTGAATGGGGAACTGCCCCACCAACCACAGTTGCCCCCACCTGCCTGCCTTCTTACTTCCATCCAGTGCAGGGGGATGGCATTAGATGCCAGCTTCCTCCTCCATAGTCTCAGTGTTGCCCCTGTAGAACCGAGTACAGTATGGGGACAAAGTTAGAATGTCTGGCATTGGCTCTGGCGCCACCTGCTGCTGGGCTCCCTGCATTCTACCCTATCAGACCCAATGGCCACCACTGAACCCAAGACATTCTATATGCAAAGCTTGTGCCCAGCTACTGAGTGACAGTCCCTCGCCTATGAATGGGTTGTGCCAAATGGTATAATACCATTGCATCCCCAATCATACATTATTCCACTGCTGCAGGCAAACACACCAGTGCAAATATTTACAATCGGGATGTCAGTTTAGAATTAATGTTTGATTATTATTATTATTATTATTTTTACCACTATAAATTGTCTTGCTTGATTTCCCCCTTCAGTGGCCATTATTTCCTCCAAACCAAAGCTCTAAACCTGTATGCACAGGTTTCTATTTATCACAGCTAGTTAAGGCTGAGCTTGGATTAAGAAATGTTTCAAACGCCAGTTCATTAAATTAAATTGTATAAAGGCAAATTGTACTCTTTAGTGAGCAGGTCTTCTCCCAGATGAATATGCACCAAATTGCAATGTAAAATATTAATTTCTTCTTTATACTTGCTTTTAGGAATGCTGTAGCCGGTTCCGGTGAAAAGCTCCAATTTTCTAATTTGATGTGAATGTTAACACTGAAATCGTAAAGTAGAATTTCTTTTGCTCTCCAAGGAATGACTAAAGACTGAGCCCATATTTAATTTGCATAGTATATTACCGATTAATATATTTAAAAAAAATATCCTTCTTGATTTACGCTTCATTTTCATTCTCCGCTTTCCAGTGAAAAGCTCACACACTGAAAATGGGAACTTTTGAGCAGGGTAGCTAAAGCAATGGGGCAGGCAGGGACCGTAATGGAGTGAGATATATTAGATCAATGGAAGAGGTCAGAGGACAACGCTTGGAGACTGTGGCCTATGGAGGTGAGGGGATTAGGGCTACAGTTCTATGCATACTAACCTGGGAATAAGTCTCATTGAGCTCACGAGAGGGGGAAAAGGGCCACATGGTAACAATGCGACTCGTACCTGCCTGCTCATGAGATTAATTGAGTTCAGCGGCGCCTACTCCCAGGTAAATGGGTACAGGATTGCAGCCGAAATGTGTTAAATCTAGACCTTGAGCACCTCTTGTGCTTTTAAGAGTTACACGGAAGGGATGGTTTTGTCATTCACCCTGAATTGTGAACCTTAAAAGAGCCTGTGAGATGCCAAATTTCATATATTGATTTAAATGAAAGAGACGGTTCTTTGGCTGCAAGCGTTTAGCATGCTGTACTTTTCGCATTCTAAAGGCTGGAGAGAAATTCCATTTCCTCTGATGATAAAACTTCTGCGAGATTCAGAGCATTAAAGAGGATACAGCAAGGGAAACAAGACAGACAGACACACACCATGACTGACAAGGCAGTTTCCCATTAAATCTACAGACAATTTCTTTATCAGGCAGCTAAGATGACACAGGTAATTTTGAGCCAATGCACTACCTGCCAATGGTGTGAAAAAGAACATCCACAAAATAAAGCTGTGATTTTTTTTTTAAGAGCTCATTTTTCCTTTTATCTTTTGGGGTTTTGGAGTGGGTGGTGGTTTTTTTTTTTTTTTTTTGCACCTTTAAGATGCATTCCAATCACATTCTCCAATATCTATTTGTCGCCAAGATAACTAAAGCATCAAATGAAAACTGTGGATGTGATGGCTTATGTCAAATCTTGCATTTCTAGGCTCTGAGCCCTCCCCCTCCATCCTAAGACTTGTGATAAAAATCGCCAGGCCCGGAAAACTTGATAAAGTTGCAACCTAACAGCAGAATATTACATGTGGAAGAGATGGATAACTCAGCCTGCAATCAGCAGTTCAGCTTTGACCCACAGTAGTCCAACTGAAATTCACATGGACTGGGACTTTTGCTGCAGAAAGGACTATACAGTGGTACCTCAGGTTAAGTACTTAATTCGTTCTGGAGGTCCGTACTTAACCTGAAACTGTTCTTAACCTGAAGCACCACTTTAGCTAATGGGGCCTCCTGCTGCTGCCGCGCCGCTGGAGACCGATTTCTGTTCTCATCCTGAAGCAAAGTTCTTAACCCTAGGTACTATTTCTGGGTTAGCAGAGTCTGTAACCTGAAGCGTATGTAACATGAGAAAGGGGCTAATTCACAGAGCTGATAGGCAGATACTAAGACCACAGAAATACAAGTGGTGGAGAGGGCTCTGTGTGATGTCATTTCCCTCCTTTCCTGGAGAGGAAGGAGTATGTAGCACTTCCTGTTCCTCTCTCTCTCTTCCTTTCACCAACTTTGGATGCAGATCTCTGCTTGCTCCAGCTTTAGGCAAATGGACCTGGAGTTGGTTACCCTGTAAATATAGGTATTTTGCCTGCATAGCTGCCATTGCTGTGAACCAATGCACGATTGCAAAGTAAGTAAATCTTATTTTTTAAGCTTCCTTCCCAGGTTGTTGCCTGATTCTTTGTTAAGGGTATAAAGGGGGAAGCCATCTTTGTTGCTGGAGTTGCTGAAAACAAGCAGCTTAATTCCTATGCTTTTAATTTTGCTACCAGGGGTGAGATTTTAAAACTCTGTTCAACCCATGGCAACCTTACCCTAGATGCCAAGTCTCTTCTCCCAAACTATAAACTTATCGCTCAGCCAGGAAGAAAGGGGCAAATAATTTCAGCCACATCGCAGGATGGGTGTTTTCATTTGCAGCCATTTTCCTAACAAACACTGAGAACAGGGCTTTGTGTATGAGCTGTTGTACCCATTACACCAAATGGAAGGGTATTTAGAGTTCTGGGCTATACGCCTTCAGACTGAAAATTTTATTTGAATTCTCCCAGGTCACACTGCCTCCTCATTCCATGCAGCGTGTAGAATACCTGACAAATTCTAAAAGGTTTTGGGAAGGGGTCATAGCTTGGTGGTAATGGAGGACACACTTGTGCCATGGAGAAAGCCCCAGGCCCAATTCCTGGCATTGCCAGGTGGGCTTGGGAAATGACTCTCTCTGATACTCCAGGGAGATGCTGCCACTCTGTGTAGACAGTTCTGGGCTCAATGGTCTGACTTGGAGGCAGCTTCAGGTGTTCCCCCTGAGACCTCAGAACTATGTCAATACCTAATTATGACATAATTAAGAACAGGCATGGCCAAACTTGGCCCTCCTGCTGTTTTGGGACTACAATTCCCATCATCCCTGACCACTGGTCCTGTGTTAGCTAGGGATGATTGGGAGTTCAAGTACCTTCAAAGTACTTCCCCAACCAGAATGCCTTTAGTTCTGTATAAAGCGTGTTTTCCTCAACATCTTAGGGCCTCCTTCCTTGAGAGCTGTTCAGCTTTAATGCCCTTCTTCAATGTCCATTACCTGATAACATTTATTCTTCAGTGACAAACACAGTTAAACCGGAAGACAGAGAAAGAAACCAAGGGATCTATTAAGAAGGCAATGTTATGTGTGATTATTCTTGGGTATTCTTTTTCTGGCTGCTATAAACGGGTGACAGAAACGTCTTTTTGCGGCTGTCTCCCCATTGTCACGTTCCCCTCTTCGTCTTTCCTCTTTGTGGGGATAAAGATGTCTTGTGTGATGTAGGCTGCTGCGAGTTCAGGAGCAAGAGACTTATGTCGCTTTAGTCCATGAATCACAGCTCTTGTGCCTTTCCCCACTCATAAAGAATAGGGTTTTTATTATTACTATTTTTTCCTCCCTGTGAGGCAAAGCTTTTTATATCAAACAGTATTTTCAAGAGGAATGAGATTGTTCGGGCAGTGGTAATAACGGCAAGGCTTTCTTGCTTTGGGGTTCATTTTTTTGCTTTACGATTACCCGCCTGAAATGGGTACCAGTCATATTTTGCAAGAGAGCCACAATTCTGAGGCTGGCACCACTGCCCTCATTAAGGTCAATTGATCATCCTTGCCTCAAGGAAATGGGAGAAAAACCCCAACAAGAGATGGGTCACTGTGCACGATGGACTCAGCGACGAATGTGGCCGGATAGAGAATCTTAGCTTTGTTGGGTTAGTTGGTCCGTGCAGACAAGTCTATCAACGAGAAATGTGTCATATACAGATTTCTGTTTAGTAGACCTTTCTGTCTCGGGCTTCTCGTTTATCATTGTCTCCCTGACAGGAGCTCTGCCCTGTTATCCTGACTTGTATGTCATTTATCAGTGTTAAGTACAACAAAAGAACATCCCTTTAAAACCCTCTTTAACTTTTCACATGCTTCTACTGTTGAATAATGGTAGCTGTTGCCATTGGCCCAAATATCCCGTTTTGTTGCTTTTCCTTTCAGTTCTGTTAGCTGCACAATAATGGGCTGAAATGGCTCTAAGAGCTCTTGGAAACCTAGCACATATATATGTATATTTCTGCATGAGTCATATACCCTCCCCCAGTTTTCTTTTTTAACCTTAAAAAAAGAAGTGCAGGAGGACAGTATTCTTGCCAGAAAGGAATATTTTGTAGGCCCACCTAGAGTTGGCTATAAATATCACTTATAAGGCACATTAGTATTCATTACCACAACAGGGCTAAATAGTTCTTAAACAGGATAAAACAAATATTTGTACTTTAGTAGGACTGTGGAATGAATATTTGACATGCTGCAGCGGAATTAGCGTGCGAGAAAATTCAAGTGGAATTTTTTTCAGGTATTGCACTTGCTCGCAACTTGGGCTTGTACTTTGGAGTTTTGCTTTTCACCCCGAAAGGCTTGGTAACAGAGTTTTTACTTTACAGTAGCATTCAGACTCAAAAAGCAAAATTGCGACAGAAAACACCCCCACCAATCACCTTCGTTAAAGCATCATTCTTCCCTCTCCCTGCCAGTGATTTCTTACATGCTAGCCATGTTTTACATCCACCTGTTATTCATATACTCCAGGGGCAGTATTTGAGAAAATGGAATTATCCCTAGTTTTACCTGTTAGCATGCTGGGGAAATGTGTGTTAATTCTCAGCACTAAAAGCACTACCTCCGTCTGCTCCCTCTGTTGGGCTGAGAACACTCCTTTGCATTTAATTCCTGCTATTTTGAACAGTATAGTAAAGTACTTTGCTCTTTGCTCTCTTTTTCTCTGTGTGCGTGCACACACAGGCCTAAAAACAGAGATGGAGAGTCGCCAACTTTACAACCGGACTTTGCAGCTGCGCCTTTCACAGGAGATTAATCTGAAGCCATTAGCAGGTGAGAATGTTTATCTCCATCCCAAGATAAGCTTTTTTTTTTTTAAAAAAAAATTATTATTCAAAATTAAAACAAAACATATTATCCAGAAACATATCATCCCTATCTCCCACCATTTTTGCTGACACGTAGAACAGGGGTCAGCAAACTTTTTCAGCAGGGGGCCAGTCCACTGTCCCTCAGACCTTGTGGGGGGCCGGACTATATTTTGAAAAAGAAAAGGAAAAAAAAAAGAATTCCTATGCCTCACAAATAACCCAGGGATGCATTTTAAATAAAAGCACACATTCTACTCATGTAAAAACACGCTGATTCCTGGACTGTCCACGGGCCGGATTTAGAAGGCGATTGGGCTGGATCCGGCCCCTGGGCCTTAGTTTGCCTACCCATGGCGTAGAAGTACGAGGGTGGGACACTCGCTTTATAGCACTCCACTTGCTTGGAGATGATCTAAAATGAGGAGGAAGGCAGAGGTCCGCCATCTTTCTTCCCAGCTCTATTGGTATGTTTGGTGCAGGGATGAAGGAACCTGTGGCCCTCTAGATACTGTTTGACTCCAACTCCCATCAGCCCCAGCCAGCATGGCCACTGGACAAGGATGACTGGAGTTGTAGTCCCTCAATATCTGGTGGGCCACAGGGCAGCCACCCCTGGCCTAGCAACTACCTTTGTGGTTTGTTCATGGAATATAGATAAATGCACAGTAATACCGCAGTCTTCTTTAACAGCTTGAGAAAACAGGGTCAGACGAAGCACGGAAAACAGTAGTTTTGCTCCATGGGGAAAGCATTGTTCTGTCTATTGCTAGCTTTAGACTTTTGTAGTGGAATGACTGATGACAGTGAGGTTCTCTGCTCGGGATGGAGCAACAAAATGATTATTTACATGGACAGGCTTAGCCTGGCTGCTAGCCTTGTAGCACTACCACCTTTTTTTTTTGAAGTACTGGAAATCTTTTGAGAGCAGAATAATGATAGTGTTATTCTTAATGTATACTGGTTGGGACCAAGATATATACATTATGTATTTTTGTAAACCACCCTGGAAGCTCTGCTAAAGGCCAATATGGAAATCTCTAAAATATATGTATGTGTATTAACGTGTTGTGCTGAATTCAGTTTTGGAGTAAACCAAGCAGCTATATTTCCCAGTGTGGCTTTCTGGAACAGAGCGCTTTGGGGGCTTTCAGAGCATCAATAGGAAAGGAAGGGTTGCTTCTGCGGGGAGGTTCTAAGTCAGTGTTTCCCAAATTTGGGTCTCCAGCTGCTTTTGGACTACAGTTCCCATTATCCCGGACCATGGGCCTTGCTAGCTAGGGATGATGAGTTGCATTCCAAAAACAGTTGGAGACCCAAGTTTGGGAAACCCTGTTCTAATTCTCACTTTCTTGCAGGCATCGTCTACAAGATAGATTTCTCCTGCCTTCAGCCAGTGCTTGCAAAACGCTGTCTTCTTTCTCCTCTCTCTGCCATCTCTGTGCTCAGAGCCCTTGTGCTATGGTTCCTCAGTACCTGGCAGTAAGGGATTTCAGCAGGTGGGTGGGACAACCCACCTGCCAATTATGTGATGTTGTAATGAGGTCAGTGATTGACGGGTGGGTTGCCCCACTCAGCTGTCAAATTTGGCCAGTACAGTGGTACCTCGGGTTAAGTACTTAAATCGTTCCGGAGGTCCATTCTTAACCTGAACTGTTCTTAACCTGAAGCACCCCTTTAGCTAATGGGGATTCCCGCTGCGCCGCCAGAGCATTTCTGTTCTCATCCTGAAGCAAAGTTCTTAACCTGAAGCACTATTTCTGGGCTAGCGGAATCTGTAACCTGAAGCGTATGTAACCCGAGGTACCACTGTATAAATCCATATAAATCTAATAGGACAACAGGGTCATTACCTATTGAAACTCTTTTTGGTATTGTTGTTGCTGCTGTTGTCACTCACTCACTCACTCACTCACTCTGGTTTTTAAAAAGATGTAAGTTCCTTTGGGTGGGCTTGGCATCAATTTTCATTTAAAGGTAAATCTACGTTATTTGTATGGCTTGAAACTACAGAGGTACCTCGGTTTAAGAACGATTTGGTTTACAAACTCCGCAAAACTGGAAATAGTGTCTTGGTTTGAGAACTTTACCTCGGTCTAAGAACGGAATCCGAATGGTGGAAGGGCACCGGTGGCGGGAGGCCTCATTAGGGAAAGCGTGCCTCGGTTTAAGAATGGACTTCTGGAATGGATTAAGTTCGTAAACCGAGGTACCACTATATACGTGAACCAAAATGTTCACATCCTTTGAAATACTCACTTCTCTCTATTTCACAATGCAGTTCTGCAACCAAGTAATGCATGAAAAAAGGCACGCCACAAGATAAATATCAGTAAAAAATAAAAATGCCTTATATTAGGGAAAACTGCTTGAAGAAAAATGTATATTAGGAGAAATTTGCACTCAAGTATTATTAGTTTTCATGAGAACTTTTTAAAAAACCCCACAATTTTATGTGAAAATGTAGAGAGCTGAACTTAAGACTGAAAAAACAAGAAACTAGAATTGACAGATTTGCCAATCCCTAGTGTATGAACATAGGTAAAAAAGGTAAAGGACCCCTGGATGGTTAAAAGTCCAGTCAAAGGCGACTATGGGGTTGCAGCGCTCACCTTGTTTCAGGCTGAGGGAGCCAGCGTTTGTCCACAGACAGCTTTCCGGGTCATGACTAAATCGCTTCTTGCACAACGGAACACTGTGACATAAGCCAGAGCTCATGGAAACGCCATTTATCTTCCCGCTGCAGCGGTACCTATTTATCTACTTGCACTGGCATGCTTTCGAATTGCTAGATTGGCAGAAGCTGGGACAGAGCAATGGCAAGCTCACTCCATCACGGGGATTTGAAAGACAAACTTTCCGATCTGCAAGCCCAAGAGGCTTAGTGGTTTAGACAACAGCGCCACCCGTGTCCCTGTATGAGCATAACAGTAAAATTTAGTATAGGTCCCCTATACAGTGGTGCCCCGCAAGACGAAATTAATTCGTTCCGCAATTTTTGTCGTCTAGCGAATTTTTCGTCTTGCGAAGCACGGTTTCCCATAGGAATGCATTGAAAATCAATTAATGCGTTCCTAGGGAAACCGCTTGCCAGGCTGGCGGTGCGGAGAAGGGCTTTTCTCCCCACCGCAAGCCTTCAGCACAGGTACGGGAACAGAGGGGAAGGCGCGCAGCGCTTTCCCTCTGTTCCCGGGGCTTGCGTGGGAGGAGGGTTTTTCCTCCCCACCGCCAACATTCAGAACAGCATTCTGAATGTTGGCGGTGGGAAGGAAAACCCTTCTCCCACCCCAAGTCTTCAGGAAAGCCATCCGAAGGCTGGCGCGGGGAGAAGGTCTCTCCGCCCCCCCCACGCCAGGCTTTGGTGCATCCTTCAGAGGCTGCTGCCATAGTCACGCGTCACTTCTCCAGCTGGGAGAGGGTCGCGGGGCTATGGTTTCTTTAGCCCCGCGCGCGCTCTCCCGGCTGGAGAGGTGACGGGCGCCTATGGAGGTTCCTGCCATATGCGCGCGTCACAACTCCAGCTGGGAGAGGGTCGCGGGGGGCTGGTTTAGCCCCGCGCGCGCTCTCCCGGCTGGAGAGGTGACGGGCGCCTATGGAGGCTCCTGCCATAGGCGCGCGTCACTTCTCCAGCTGGGAGAGGGTCGCGGGGGGCTGGTTTAGCCCCGCGCGCGCTCTCCCGGCTGGAGAGGTGACGGGCGCCTATGGAGGCTCCTGCCATAGGCGCGCGTCACTTCTCCAGCTGGGAGAGGGTCGCGGGGGGCTGGTTTAGCCCCGCGCGCGCTCTCCCTGGCTGGAGAGGTGACGGGCGCCTATGGAGGTTCCTATGGAGCTGTTCCTGGAACAGCTTTCCGAAGTGGGGCGGCTGGGGCAGATGTCCCCGCCCCCCGCCCCACTTCGGAACAGCTGCAAAAGACGTCAGGGGGAAGCGGGGAAGCGAAGCGCTTCGCTTCCCGCTTCCCCCGGACCTCTTCTGAAGCAAGGGGCTGGGGGGAGATCGCTATCTCCCCCCAGCCCCTTGCTTCAGAAGAGGTCCGGGGGAAGCGGGAAGCGAAGCGCTTCGCTTCCCCGCTTCCCCTGACGTCTTTTGCAGCAAGGGGCTGCAGGGAGATCGCTATCTCCCCCCAGCCCCTTGCTTCAGAAGAGGTCCGGGGGAAGCGGGGAAGCGAAGCGCTTCGCTTCCCCGCTTCCCCCGACGTCTTTTGCAGCAAGGGGCTGCAGGGAGATCGCTATCTCCCCCCAGCCCCTTGCTTCAGAAGAGGTCCGGGGGAAGCGGGAAGCGAAGCGCTTCGCTTCCCCGCTTCCCCCGACGTCTTTTGCAGCAAGGGGCTGCAGGGAGATCGCTATCTCCCCCCAGCCCCTTGCTTCAGAAGAGGTCCAGGGGAAGCGGGGAAGCGAAGCGCTTCGCTTCCCCGCTTCCCCCGACGTCTTTTGCAGCAAGGGGCTGCAGGGAGATCGCTATCTCCCCCCAGCCCCTTGCTTCAGAAGAGGTCCGGGGGAAGCGGGGAAGCGAAGCTTCAGAAGAGGTCCGGGGGAAGCGGTTCCCCGGACCTCTTCTGAAGCAAGGGGCTGGGGGGAGATAGCGATCTCCCTGCAGCCCCTTGCTGCAAAAGACGTCGGGGGAAGCGGGGAAGCGAAGCGCTTCGCTTCCCCGCTTCCCCCGGACCTCTTCTGAAGCAAGGGGCTGGGGGGAGATAGCGATCTCCCTGCAGCCCCTTGCTGCAAAAGACGTCGGGGGAAGCGGGGAAGCGAAGCGCTTCGCTTCCCCGCTTCCCCCGGACGTCTTTTGCAGCAAGGGGCTGCAGGGAGATCGCTATCTCCCCGCAGCCCCTTGCTTCAAAAGAGAAGACCCGCTGTCCCCGGGGCAAGCTTCGTTTTGCGAAGCAAGCCCATAGGGGAATTCGTCTTGCGAGGCAAATCGCGGACGAAAAAACCTTTCGTCTAGCGAGTTTTTTTGTCTTGCGAGGC